TTTTCCTACAGCTGTTTTTGACTCTGATCTGCCAGGTGTCATTGTGTAAATACCTTCATTCCTTTTGAGCTGCTTCTCCCCCTGTAAAATTGGGATACTCATACTGATCTCCCTTGTAAAGCACCAAGATCTACAGATAAACAGCACTAGGTAAAAGCTAGGTAAATTCTTTTGTAAAGCAAAAGAGGGCTACGTAAGCTGGGGCTGCTAGCAGCAGTGCAAATCGATGTAAAAGGCTGAATAAGTGTGATTATGTTATATAATCAGTATGGCTCTTTCAAATCATCTCACTGGCTTCTGCTCCTTGAACTGACCATTCTGCGTCTCTCATTTCTGAGCATCTTAACTACCTTGCAGCTTCAGTATCTGTAATAATTTTCCTTAAGTAAAAAAAAAAAAAAGAAAAAAAGAAAAAAAGAAAAAAGGAAACTAATCTACTTGAGGGCTTATAGTGTTTAATACAATGTCATGCTTTCCTCGCTTTTACTGAATTCACTCAAGCATCCCAATTGCTCTTTTAAACTACTACTGCATACTGAGCAGACATCTTTACTGCGTTATCTACACTGACTCACAATTCTTTGTCCTCAAATAACCCTGGAACAGAACCTGCTAGCATGTAAGCAGTGCGTGTGCGCAGCAGCATATCAACACTGAATGAAAATTTTTTGTGCCAAATGCAGAAGCATCGTAAACTTATTCTGCTTCCAGTTTTATGGCACAATTTTTATTTCTCAAAAAAAGGAGCTGTAAATTTAATTTTAATAAAGGATTTGTCTGCAACAAGCACTCGAAATAACTCAAATGAAAGAACAGCGTGGTAGACGGTCTTACCCATGTGTACTTTTCAATAACAGACTGGTTGGAAAATCAGAAAGGTGAAATCACACATATTATAGCTGCACTGCAATAAACACATGTGCATGTCTCACAGCAGGGAAGGAAAATTGCCCAGATCCCAGCAATGCCAGAATTGTTACTGTTTAGATTGTTAAGGATCTGCTCTGTCCATCTGCACACATCCAAGCATGGCAGGTGTTTGGTTTTCTGCAATCACTGTTATTAACCATGTAAGAGTCTTCCAAAAACATATATTCAGAAAGAAATAACTGCACTTCTTAAATACACATTTTCAGGTGAGGTGTAGTTTGTATTTAAAGAAAAGTTGGTGGTTTTTTTGTTGCTGTTGTTGTTTAAATTTAATATGCTATAGCACAAAACCTACAGGAGTGGATTAGTGAGCTATGGACCCTTGTATTTGCCCAGTACAGAGGTTAAGCTTTATCATGAGACAGAGTAATGTAATACCCTTCAATCTGTTCTGCCATGATGCATGTAGTCTTGATTTATACCTACGTGAGATTACAGTATTTCCAAGTGAAATATAAACCAATACCTAGAGTCAGGATGGTAACAGAATGTAAACAGGAGATCACCGAGACCTTCCACGGTCAAATCCTCGCTCTGTTAGCAGTCCAGTGCGCAACATCCAGTGAGCTCAACCTCTTCTGTACCTCTGCTTTCCCAGTAGTAAATGGAAGTACTGGCTGCTTATTTACCCCAGGAGATTAAAGCTTGCAGAATGGTCTCCAAATATTAGACCAAGTTTTAGAATCGCACTGCTGAATACAATCAGTAGCCATGCATCAAAGTTGAGAGGCAAAGAAATATACTTCTACTGATGCACAGATACTTCTTAAAAGCTAGATACTCCTTGAATGATTGCACTTTTATTCTTACCTAGACTGGGAAAGATTACATCTCTCAGTGTTCATTTTATGTCTACAATTTTCAATCACACACTTTGCACTCTGGCCCAAACACCTCAGTAATAGAGAAGCCAGTCTTCCAGACCCTACTGGAATCCACAAAACATAATGCTGCAGGACATACAGCTAGAAGGGTTATAGGGAAAGGAAGCTCCACAAGCAATTACATTTATCCCAAGGGTCCCACCACTCAACTATAAGGCTGGGTCCACAGCTAGGTTAGGTACTACCACTCTTAAGGAGCCTCTGCAGGCTCACTTCCTTGCACAGCCGTGATTTACTGGGTGTATTTTACATCAAAATAGCCATGTTCGCAGTCATGTGAAATTGCTACTCAGTCTAGGCTCCACAGACAATGACATTCTTACCTAATGCATTGCTACCTGAGATTAAACCACTTTAACAACCGTTTCAACAATATTGATGGAAAACTTAATTGTCTCATCCTGACCCAGAGTAGAACACAAGTGTTTGCACCAGCATAGGGATAACACATAAGCAAGCAAGCAACAAGCAGAAGACTGCTTTGAGCCAGGGCATTAGCTTAATGTATTCCTAAAACTACTATGGTGTCCACACTATTTTCAGCAGTTCAGAAGATCTAAAAGTATCAACATGTTCTATCACAACAAAAGAATATACCTTAGCAAGGCATTCATGCAGGTCTCACAGAATCTGTGTCCACATTCAGTCTGTTTAGGATTGCATAAGATGAGGTGACATTTTTCACATTTATACTTATCTTCCACGGCATTTACAAATTTCTCTTTGTAGCCACCTTGCTCTGGAACATAAATTGATGCTGAAGGACTGCGATCAGGATTGGCTCTTTGTTGTACCATTTCTACAGATAAAGGGGGTTCTGTCTTCTTACTGGTGTCCATGCTCTAAGATAGTTTCTGTGAAGCAAAAATGAGAAAACTTATTAAGTTTTAAGTTTAAGAGAAATTAAGACCTCTTTTTCCATCTAAATAAAACAAATATAGCATCTCTGAGAGACTACATAGAAATGTAAAGCGCTAAGAACAGATGTGCATCCACATATCATCTGAACGCAATAATACATAACTGTGTAAGTACATTAAGCATAGCAAATCTGTAAAATAGTTTACATTTTTCAAAGGTTCTAGAAGGTCAAGAATTAAAACCTATTCCTGAAAGCAAATTGTTAGTTAGTTATGGGCATCAGTCTAGAAACAAATAAGAAAAGAGTTTGTATTCTTCCATATCTCTCTCTGAAAAATGTCCTTAATATTGAAGTTATACCATCAGAGGAAGCAGCAAGGGGTGTGGTAGAGAAGGTGCCACACACAACACTACTCACGTGCTACTGCGAAAAGCACACAGCCATCAGTGCCCTATACAGGGTATCTGGAATCTACGCAGCTCCACTACCAACTTCTCCTGTCTATCCCATGCAGTAGTAAAGTGTAAGACACGCTGCTTTAAGTTTGTTTTAGAACAAAGCAACAGGTTTTTACTTATTAAACACTTTCCAACCTTTTCACCGTACATTCCCACATGAAGAGAACAGTGATACAAGTCTAGCTGACAGAAGAGAAAGACCTACGTAACATGGCCACTCAATCAGTTCACCAGGACTAAGCACAACTGACAGGCAGCTGAGAAAATAATTAATGCAGTTGAAGACTGTATTACAGTACCTATTATCTTGGACTGTGATTCTTCTAGGTCAGCATGCAAAGCATTAGCAGAACAACAGAGGAAGAATACTCCAGGTTAAACCTGTTTTCAATAATTCCCTTGCTTATCTTACAGCCAAACAAGTTTAAGTGGTCTTAAAAAACCTCTGCACATGAAGGAGAAAGCACAGTTGGAGGATAAAACACACATTTACATAAGAGAAATGCCTGGCTATTTACAAGAGAAAGGCATACTTCAATTCTCCCTCCATGTTAACTGACACTTGAAATATAAACCTATTCCGCAGCTCTACAGTTGCCTCGACCCCTACAGTTATAATTCAACTTTAAGAAGCAGAATGAAGAAATGAGGCCCAGTTCATTTCTCAATTTTAAAAGTACATCCATCGATACCACAAAGGTTGTCAAATGCTTCACATCTCAAATACACAAACCTTCTTGTACACTTTTTTTGTGACCTCTTATCTTCCGTTGTTACACCCAAAACAAGTACTTGTAATTAAACGTGTTTTGTTGTAGATCATTTCTGTATCTATACTTTTGGTATAGAATTCTCCATGGAGACTAAACAGACAAGGAAATTTCATTTCTGATGCCAACTGTTATTTCTAGAAACAAAAGACAAAAATCATCACAACTCATTGCTGCTACTATTTCATGCCTTTACATAAGCTGAGCAAGGATAGGGGTGTTGAATGATGAATCCACACTTCATTGCCCCCTTGCCCTAGGGGAAAGGCTCTCCATCAAACACTGAAAGCACCCAAGGAAACCATCCCGCTAACTCAGTACATAGACTTGATGATTAGGTCTCATTCAAAACCACCCCCCAAAAACCCAAAAACACAACAATAAAAAAAACCACCCACAAAATCAAAACACCCCAGACCAAAAACACCAAACAAACCAGTTTCTACAGTAAATGAAAAGGAAATGTAAATTCTGGTCCATAATTTGAATTAATGTCTGCCTGTTCCTTGGCTACTCTTCAAAGACTGCAGAGTCTAATACCTTGGCAGAACAATATCTGAAAAAAAACAGAAAAATCAGTGCTGAACTGAAAGTAACTTGGAGCTCTCATTGATGAGGAAATTCAGATTATTTCAGACCAGGGAAGTGAGCAAAGCCTGAACTACACTTTTAGCAGCAAGCCTAAAAAAAAACCCACAACAACAACAAAAAAAACCCCAAACCCACCAGATAATGATGACACTGAAGAGCCAATTCAAGAGACTGTAACCAGTACACAAGAATTGAGATGTGATGCTGAGAACAAGAGCCTGAGAGACAAGGAGGTTAGGAGAAGTGCCATGAGTGAGAAAGGAAAGCAGTTGACGAAAGCAGTCTAGCTTTAGAGATTGCCCAAGACATAACTGCCATTGCTGAACATCTGTGGCTGGACAGAGAGGAACCCACAGTCATGAACTTAGGACTTGGCACTTTGTTGCAGTTGTAAAAGAAAAGAAGATTAGCAAGAGAGGAAAAAAAAGTGCAACTCCATAAGCATCTGGACTGGTGAAACTAGCTACCTATGAATTTGCTTCTTGTGCGCAACTGTGGGGAAGCTTCATTCAGAGCTTGTAGTTTTGGAATCTGTAAAGGTTTTCAGTTCTCTGATTTGTAATTTGTAGATAGATACTAAAATCTCTTTTCCCTCTGCAACTGCATTTTTTTTTTTATCATATTTAAGACTTCTACCATTCTGTCAACTCTTGAAATCAAAAGCCAACTTCAAGCATGCTGATGGGTAAGAACAACACAGGGAATGTTATTTTCCTTAAAATGCCAGAATGTTTTATTAATGTAATCAGGCATGGCCTGATTCTGACCCACAGAAGAAATTCAGGAAAAGAGGCACTAAAAGAGATGCTGACAGGAGAATTGGCAAGTCAAGAGAGCACTAATTCCTGAACTTTTAAGTCATACAACACAACTACTTAACATCTTTTTCCCCATTCAGTTTCTTCCAAACAAAAAGAAGCTAGAGAAGATTAGAGACGCGAGTCTTCCAATAGCACTATTTCTTCATGAAAACTAAATAATTAATCACAAGGAGGCAGGCGAGAGGAGACAGGAAGGGTGAGAAACAGCATATTCAAGATTTAACAGAGAAAGGGTACCGAATATCAAATGAGCAGCAGGTGAGAGTTTCATAGAGACATGAAACCACCCAGGGGCTGGACTGTCAGCTGGCAAGAGAGATTTCATACCAAAATAAACTGCACATGGCTCCACAGGACTCCACTTTTGGAATTGACGGATTAGATGTCTTGTCACAGAAAACAACCAGAAAGCACACTGATAAATAAAATTTACTATGCAATATGCCTAACAGTCAGATTTGTGTGCTTTAGCTTTTACATTTCTGTTTTACAAACAAGTATGTCAGATGAGAAAAGCTAAACAAGCCCAGCACCACGATAGTCAGCTTGGTGAGGAATTCTCTTCCACAACACTCTGAACAACCAGAATTTTCTTACGCAGCAAAACCAGGAAGCCATTCATGAAGTACTGCAACAAAATACGACAGAGAACTGAGCTTAAAAGAACACCAAAACCTCTTCTCTTATAATCAAAGAGCTGCATTTAACAACTGGGTTGGGAGATGTGATGTCTATCAAACTGCACACGCAAATCAAACTACTGTAGCACACAGCTATGCCCTCATGCATACGCGTTACATGCTCATACACCTGTATAGGGGATCAGTGGTGAACGCAAGCGCAGATAATACAAATATTTCAGCTGCCGCTCTTTTGCAAACAGCGTTCTATTATGGTTTACATACCACTACAGGGTGTCATCTGCAATGTCTTCTTTTCCTTTTCAGGAATCTTTAACAGCAGGACTCAGATTATACCCCCACAAGCATGTTTCAAACTGCCAATGAGAAGCAATTTTCAAGTCACCCTAAGTAAGACACTATGCACTTATACCAGTGAAGAGAACACACTTCCAGAAAGCAGGGAGAAGAGTCTAGCTAGAACATTCAAGATAGGCCAGTTCTGGTGGGGGCCTCCAACTCCTAACAGCATGGCAAGCTGCCATCAAGTCAAAGACTCTGGTTCTTGTTCAGCAAGCTAAATCTTAACTCCTAGTTCACCCCTAGCTATTTCTTAAGCTCCAGTTTCTTACCCCTGGGAAAAATCTTCACAATACAGGAATAAGACTTTTAGATGCCTTTTAAAATTGTTAAATCTTGGACAATCACCTTTCAGGACAGATAAGCACATAAAAAGAGGCGCAGTCACCAAGGTCAGTTCTGCCCACTGTTGATTACCCTCTTTCAGCCACCTCTCCTGCAGCCAGCATATGCCCATATTCACACTTCTGCGGAGTAACAGAAGCAGAGATTGTTCTGGCCATCAGATGGGTGACACTGCCTGCTCCAGTCTGTCATGTCTCACTGAGCTCCATTTTCATCACTACTCTTGTTCAACACAAGTGACTCAAATCACTGAGATGGACCTCAGTTAATATTTCAGGCTGTCTACACTGTAATAAAGGTTAGAATAATTTGTTGTTACTTAACTCATACTAACATCAGTACAGAGGGTTAGAAACTGGAAGCAAAAGTACATTTACCGACAAAGCTGTTCCAAGAATTAGAAGGCACAGGAGTTCCCAAACAAAAAGCATTTTGCCCTTTCCTTGTTTAAGCAAGGATGTTGTTCTCGCCGCAGAGAGGGCAAACATCCTAGGAATCTGCCTTAGTGTTCTGTATTATACCACATATAGTTTTTTATTTGCTCTTTGGAAATTAAACCAATTTGCAACATAGAAATACAATAAAGCATCTAAAAATTTCAAAATAAATTTGCATAAAAACAGAAAAAAATTAACTCTTATACAATCTAAAACACCCTCCAGAAACTGACTGCAAAAGGGACCACAGGATTCAGCACCTAGCAAGCTCTGCGTGGACAGTTTCAATATACTGACAATACAAAGCAAATAAGCTTTTGCCAAAGTTTTAAAACTTAAAAAGGTCAAGAAGTTATTTGGAATAAATATTTTTGTTACACTACCAAAGAGGATAATTAGACACAATCTAATTTGGATATTACTTAGGACAGAAAAGCTTTTCGATCAAACTGATAACAGAAGTTACCCAAACAGAACAGCACTGCATGCACAACATCTAAATTAAGCTCTGAAAAAGAAACCTGAAGTTAGGGAGCTAAAGATCACAGCAGAAAAGTGACCAATGAGATGATTCAAGCTTTCCTCTTCAAAAAACAGC